CCCCTCCCAGGGAGGTCATTTCATCCATCTTCTAGCTGTTGGATAGGCTCCATAATCCAATATTGGAAGTAGAGGTTTCTGTACAAAGAGAATGGATTCCACTGGGATTTCAACTCCTTTGCTCCTCTTCACTTCAGCACCCAAAACAAATTCTCCATCTGCAACTCATCTCCTAGGAACTGAAGGAAACTAACACTCTCTTTTCCCTACACAGGTTTTGAGACCAAAGAATGAACAAATGAAGAGTCATATTGCCTTTATGGCCAACTAATATTAGAGAATGTGATAAGTCACACACCTTTGGACAATGGGTTTCCTGTTAAAGGACTTCAAGATTTGGCCAGATTTCCCACATGGCTGAGGAAGCACAGGGCCACCAAGGACTTCTCTATGGGATCAGATACCTCATGGTAGATAGGATAGCAAAACCTAAGCTTGCTATGGACAGCCAGACCCTAACGGATACAGGAGCATAGCTCTGCATGCTCACTCATCAGGTAAGAGAGAGGGTGGAACTGTTAGAGTAGCTCACTCCTGATGGATGTAAAATTAGAAATGGGGAAGATGCTTGACTGCCTTTCTACCCAAACTTCCCAGCTGTTCTCAGAAAGCTAAACCCAACCCAGGGTTAATGGAGCAGCCACAAAGAGAAACCCAGGAAATCAAGAGCTTCAGAGTGATGGCATTTAAAGTTTGTGTTTCTTTCCTTATCCCCATATCCAATCCCATCTGCATGCCTTTGAACATGGTAAACTATTGGTTTGTAAGTCACTTTAGATCATGGATTATCCCCAGAAGTCATATTAGGGCTAGACTAATGAGAGGGCTTCTGTACATCTGTCTGATGTCTAAGGAGCCTGACCTTCCTATTCCCAAGCCTGCAATGGACCTTATCTCACCCCATCTGATATAAAAGTCAAGATCTCAAGATGTGGAGAAGGAGACATTTTAGAGTTTCTACACATCAGCATCCAATAAGGCCTTGCTCATCTTTTCAAGGCTTACAAGCAAGAACCAGTTCCTTTTTTACCTTTGCCACTTATCTTTGGCACAGATTTGGTACTTTGGGAATATGGGCAGGCAGTTCTAGATTTCAACTCTCATTACTCCTTTAGAGATATTGCAAGAAACATCACCAACCCCAGGAAAACCTGCTTGGAGCTCTGCTCCATGTGCTGCCTAACTCAAAAGAAAGGGATCAACTGTCCTGCCTCAACCCAACTTTCATGAGATGAGAGCAAGAGGGTTTGGGGACAGTTACTCGTCTCTTTATCCATTTGCTCCATATGTCAAGACCTCAGTCCTGGGTGTTATCTTAGGGCCCTGCAGAAGGGATGGGGAAACCAGTGACATTTTGGTGATCAATTAAAAGAATAAATAGAGATTTTATAAGGAGAGGAAGACTCTATTCCTGCTGACCTCAGAGAAAGATGGGATAGGTCACACTTCAAGGCAGGACAGAGGTGAACTGTTGACATTTTTGTGAACCGTTGTGGGGAGGGATGGTGAAAGGGGCTAACAAGGAAGGTTGTAAAAGACTGGAAACTACTTGGAACTTTGAGAAGGATCAATCAAGAACAACATGTTGGAGAGGAAGCCTGGGACAGGCCTAGGAAGAAAGAGTCTGGAAAAGGGCCAATTCCCAGAACTCCTGGATCAGCATCATATACCATGTTCTGGACACCTACATGCCAGTGGAGTAGTATCACAGAAACTTCCAGGGTGAGGGCATTGTGTCTGAGGACAGGTTAGGGGTTGGGGAGGATGGAATACAGTCTGTGTGAGACTGGTAATCCTGAGCTTTCTCAGCCTTGCAGAATTTCTCAAATCCATTCTCCATTTAAAGACAGAACTGGGAGCAGAGCATGGTAACACATGCCTCTAATCCCACTGGCTCAGGAGGATGAGGTAGGAGGCTCAAGAGTTCAAAGCCAGTCTCAGCAACTAAGCAAGGTCCTAAGCAACTCAAAATATAAAAAGTGTGGCCCAATGGTTAAGTGCCCCTGGGTTCAATTTTGGGTACCAAAACAAACACAACAACAACAACAACAACAAAACAGAACAGAGAAAGCTCTTTATCTTTGAAGGCAGCCAAGATAGGTAGAATAAGTATTTTACTGGTGGAATGGCCAGAGGGGTGACAAATTCCTTCCCAAATTGACACTTGAAATCCTCCCAGCTATCTCTTCAGAGTTAAACAACTCATCTTCTAATACCAACAGCTTCTTTTATTTTTCCATTCTGTGTCCTTTATTATCTTCTACTTTTCTCTCTCTCTTTTTAAAAATATTTCCCTGGATTATAAAAGCAGCATGTACTTAAAGCAAAAATGAATAAAATTTAGCAAAATAAAAAGATTTTTCCTATAATTCTATCACCCCATGATGTTTTCCTACATTCATTCATGTGTATTCACATACAGAGATACGTACATGTGCATATACATTAAAGAGTAACATCTCACAAAATATACCGCTTTCTGCTATTTTTGTGGTGCTGGGAACTGAATCCAGAGCTTTACACACATACTAGGCAAGTGCTCTACCTCTGACTTGCACCACCAACCCTCAACTTGATTTTTTTTGGTGCCTAATCTACTGTGCTATTACTATTATTCATTTAGTCATTCAGCAACTAGACTGAGTGCCTATAATTCTCCAGACACTGCACCAGGCCCAAGGATCGAGATAAAAGCACATATAGTTTTTGCCCTCATAGAATTTACAGGGAGCATGAAAGAAATTTACCAAATAACATATTTCCATATTAATATACATGGAAACCATCATTTTTCCAGTACAGAAAATTATTCTTAAAAATTATAAAAACAAAAACAAAAGTGCATATTGGGAATTAAACTATGGTATTTTTCCTTTTTTCTGAAAGTGGGACATAAATGTTCTACCAAGTATTTTACTAAACTAAAGCCTGACAGGTGATCATTAAAGCTCTTTGCTACCTCCTCCTCTCAAATTGAGCTAGTGCAGTGGAATAGCTTTCTTTTTTTGGTAGGAGAGTTTTTGACAGAAAGAAGGATAGAGTTGGAACTGCAGAATTTGAAGGAACACTTTCTTAGCAAACTCACCCCAACCCAACTGAAGCCCTAACAAATTGATTTATATATAAAGGATTTTTAGCAAACTTGCAAACAGACTTAACATGCTATAAAAAGTCTACTCTTTTTCTGCATCTATTGAAATAATTATATGATTCTTGTTTTTAAGCCTATTAATATGATGAATTACATTTATTGATTTCCATGTGTTGAACCAACCCAGCATCCCTGGGATGAACCCCACTAGATCATGGTGCACTATATTTTAAATACGTTTTTGTATGCAAGTTGCCAGAATTTTATTGAGAATTTTTGCATCTATGTTCATCAGGGATATTAGTCTGAAGTTTCCTTGATGAGTCATTGTCTGGTTTTGGTATCAGGGTGATATTCGCCTCGTAGAATGAGTTTGGAAGGGTTCCATCCTTTTCTATTTCATGGAATACTTTGAAGAATATTGGTGTTAATTCTTCTTTGAAAGTCTTGTAGAACTTGGCTAAGAATCCATCTGGTCCTGAGCTTTTCTTGGTTGGGAGGCTTTTGACGGCATTTTCTATTTCATTACTTGAAATTGTTCTGTTTAAATTGTGTATGATCTCCTCATTCAGTCTGAGTAGGTCATATGTCTCTAGAAATTTGTCGATATCTTCGATATTTTCTATTTTACTGGTTATAAATTTTCAAAATAGTTTCTAATTATTCTCTATATTTCAGACATGTCCGCTGTGACATTTCCTTATTCATCTTGTATTTTAGTAATTTGAGTTTTCTTTTTCATCAGCATGGGGTTTATTTATTTTATTTATTTTTTCAAATAACCAACTTTGTGTTTTGTAGTTTTTTCAATTGTTTCAATTTCATTGATTTCAGCTCTGATTTTAATTATTTCCTGTCTTCTACTGCTTTTGGTGTTGATTTATTCTTCTTTTTCTAGAGCTTTGAGATGTAGTGTTAGGTCATTTATTTGTAGACTTTTTATTCTTTTAATGAATACACTCAATGCAATAAACTTTCCTCTTAGTACTGCCTTCATAGTGTCCCAGAGATTTTGATATGATGTATCAGTGTTCTCATTTATCTCTAAGAATTTTTAAAATTTCATCCTTGATTTCTTCTACTATCCATTCATCATTCAATAGTGTATTATTTAGTCTCCATTTACAGTAGTTTTTTTTTTAATCATTGATTTCTAATTTCATTCCATTGTGGTAGTCAAAAACACCATACAGGCAAGCCATTGGGGTTGAAGGATGGTGACTCTTACCAAGTGACTGCTTGTGCAAAGCCTGCCTGTGTATTCAGGTTGGGAGGCTTTGTGATAGTATTATTTGCCAAGTTGTTGGCATAGGAACATGTAGGTTGAGGAAAGGGGTCTTCCAAGCAGAATTCTTGACATAGTCTTGCCCCAGAATAGTCTAACTCAAAAGCACCCCACAGAGATGTCTACTTTGGAAGGAGTCATAGGTTTACAGAACACAAGAAAGTGTTTCAGGAGAAGCAAGGTCGCTGGAAGGTCAGGTGTGTCTTCCTAATCTGTCAGTACTTAACAATAGTGAAGAACTGCAGCAGAGTCAGCCTTTCCAAGATGTACTCTCCTGTCCACACAAAAAAGAAGCCCCTTCCAGTCTTCTGGACCTGTGAAGTCCAGAAAGTTCCCATGAGTGCCATATCCCCACACAATTGATTAACAAATATATGAAAAAGTGTTCAACATCTTTAGCAATTAGAGAAACGCAAATCAAAACTACACTAAAATTTCATCTTACTCCAGTCAGAATGGCAATCATCAAGAATACAGGCAACAGCAATTGTTGGCAAGGACGTGGGGAAAAAGATACACTCATACATTGTTGGTGGGACTGCAAATTGGTGCAACCACTATGGAAAACGGTATGGAGATTCCTCAGAAAACTTAGAATGGAACCACCATTTGACCAGTTATCCCACTCCTTGGTTTATACCTAAAGAATTTAAAATCAGCATACTATAGTAATCCAGCCACATCAATGTTTATAGCAGCTCAATTCACAATAGCTAAACTATGGAACCAACCTAGATGTCCTTTAACAGATGAATGGATTAAGAAAATGTGATATATATATATATATATATATATATATATATATATATGGAATATTACTTAGCTTTAAAGAAGAATGAAATATGGCATTTCCCAGTAAATGGATGGAGTGGAGAATATCATGCTAAGCAAAATAAGTCAATCCCAAAAATCCAAAGGCTGAATGTTTTCTCTAATATGTGGATGCTAACTCACAATAAGGTGGGGAGGGCACTAGAGAAGAATAGTGTTACCTTAGATTAGGTAGAGGGAAGTGAAGGGAGGGGAGAGAAGGGAATGTGGGGATAGGAAGGATAGTAGAACAAAATAGACATTATCGCTTTATGTATATATGTGACTGCATGACCAATATGATTCTACAACATATATACTCAGAAAAATGGAAATTATATCCCATCTATGTATGATATATCAAAATGCATAAATACATTCTATTGTCATATAAAACTAATTAAAATAAATAAAAAATACAGTGTAGAGTTTTATATTAATCTCTATTAAATCTTAGTTTTGGCTCAAGCTCCAAACCATCAAATTTACACATTTGATCTATATATGCAAAGATATTTTCACCCGAGTGTCTTAAAAAGAAAAATGTGATTTAGTACAAAAACTGCTTATTTATAATGAGGAAGAAAAGTGTCATAATTAGCTTTGAGGAAGTGGCTTTTTAAAAACTTTCTTATTAGGAAAATATCAAACATATTTGTTTGTGTAGATCATTCACCACAGACATCTCTGAAATCCAGAGAATCATTAGGAACTATGTTGAAAAAATACTTCAATAAATTGGAAAATCCAGAAGATATTGACAAATTTCTAGATACTTATGACCTAACCAAATTGAGCCAAGAAGATATAGAAAACCAAAACAGACCAATATCAAGCAATAAAATCGAAGCAGCAATTAAAAGCTTTACAACAAAGAACAGGACCAGATGGATTCTCAGCTGCATTTGATCAGATCTCTGAAGAACTGATGCCAAGATTGGCATCCTGGAGTTATTCCATGAAATAGAAAAGGAGGGAACACTCCCAAATTGATTCTGTGAAGTCAATATCATTAAAGAGAAAGCGAGGAACAAGACGGGTAAGTGAGAAATGAAAGATGAGACCAGGCAGAGATACATCCAGGCAGAGATCTGCCATATATACAGCTCTGACAAATAAAGGCCATCTCTCTACAGGAGAGACAGCCAACACAGGCTTGGGTTCTGGGACTTTTATGGGGGAGGCCCAGTAATCAGAGCCGGGCGGGTCCTAATGTGGTTGGTTAAGGGTTGGGTTGGTATGAGGGAGTGGTGAGCCTTTCTCAGAAATGCCCTTGGGTGGGAAAGCGAAACTTTTCCCTTAAAATGGGGGCTGTCACTTAAGATGGCCATCCAGATGCTAAGCAAGGACCTTATAATCATCCCGACACCAGACCAGACAAAGACACGACAAGGAAAGAAAACTACAAGTCAATGCTGAAGAATACAGATGTAAAAGTCCTTAATAAAATATTAGCAAACCACATTCAAGAACACATTAAGAAGATTGTATGTCACCATCAAGTGGATTTCATTTCAGGGATGCAAGTTTGCTTCAACACTCACAAGTCAATAAATGTAATTCACTTTATAAATAGAATTAAGGACAAGAGTCACATGATCATCCCAAAAGATGCAGAAAAAACCCTTTGACAAAAGTTATCACCCATTCATGTTAAAAACACTGAAGAAACTGCAGGTAGAAGGAACTTATCTCAATATCATTTTATTTATTTATTGATTTGTGTATGGTGAAACAAACCCAAAGTCAACATCATACTAAATGGAGAAAAACTGAAAGTTTTTTCTCTAAAATTAGGAACAAGACAAGAATGTTCACTCTCACCCCTCCTACTCAGTATAGTTCTTGAAACTCTAGTCACAGCCACCAGGCAAGAAAAAAAATTAAACGGATACAAAAAAGAAAAGAAGAAGTCAAATAATCTTTGTTGCCGATGACATGATCCTGTATGTAGAAGACTCAAAAAACTCCATCAAAGAGTCAGAGAGCTTTTAAAAAAATTTACTGAAGTAGCAGGATATAAGATCAACCTAAGCTGGGTGTGGTGGTGCACTCCTGTAATTCCAGCAGCTCTGGAGGCTGAGACAGGAGGATCCTGAGTTCAAAGCCAGCCTCAGCAATGGCAAGGGGCTAAGCAACTAACTCAGTGAGACTCTATCTCTAAATAAAATACAAAATAGGGCTGAGGATGTGGCTCCATGGTCAAGTACCCCTGAGTTCAATCCCTGGTACAAAAAAAAAATCAACATAAAAGTCAATAGCTTTCATATAGTCCAAATAATGAATTTTCTGAGAAAGAAAGCAGGAAAACCATTCTGTTCACAATAACCTAAAAACTAACCAACCAACCCAACAAAAAACTTGGGAATAAATCTAACCAAGGAGGTGAAAGATCTCTACAGTGAAAACTAGAGAATACTGAAGAAATAAATTGAAGAAGACCTTAGAAGATGGAAAGATCTCCTCTATTCTTGGATGGGCAGTTTTGTCTTTTTTGAGAATTTCACCTAAGTGAAATAGGCAACTTTTTGAGATTGACTTCTTCACTCAGCATAATGCTGTTTAGATTCTTTCAAACTGTGTATATTGTTTGGATCTTTAGGAGGACTTATCCTCAACAATCAGAAGGTGACCATCAACTAGAGCTTCCTGAAACCCTAGAATATGGGGATTGACCATCAGTTTGTGGAGGTGAGAGGTCAAGATCCACAATGACAGTTTTGCTTCCTTTTGACAAGGTGAGCACCATTGTGGGGAGGGGCTGTGCTCCTGGTGCCCCTGGGACTGGGTACTTGGAGGCTGGGGTTCTGGTGGCAGGTTGGCTCATGAGCAGGGTTTGGGCAGGCCACTACCTCTTCTTCAAGGTGGACCACAGATGGGGTCCCTGGAACAGCAGGAGAAGGTGCTGGAGACCCACTGGTGCCTCCTGCAGCAGCAGATGGCCACCTCCAAGGCCAGTGCCAAGGACATGCAGCCTTTCCTTGAGTTCTACATTCACTGCCTCCAGGACCACAAGGACAGTCTGCTGCTGGGGCTGGTAGGATGGTTGTTGTGGGTGCAGATCATCTGGTCTCTGTGGGCCACAGACAAGGAGCTGGGAGGACTTCAGGTGATAAATAATGGGATCAAGCATTCAGGTGAACAGTAAGAGCTTTAAATATATAGCTGTTATTACCATCATCATCATGAATACCAGCAGGGCCAGGGCTAGCCCACAGAATACCTTTGAACTAATTGGAAAAAGTGCCCCTGTGGGCAGGTGCAGCAATGTCAGCCACATCCTGGCAAGGAGAGTGTGGGCTGGCTTTCACCCCACTGATTTCCCTGGCCCAAAGTGAAGCCCCTGATCACCACTGCTACCATCCTCCTCTTCCTTCTTATCATCCACTGGGCAAGTTGATAAGCAGAGCAAACCCAGCAGGGTGAGCAGCAGGCTTTCCTGTTTATGTTTTGCAAGAACCACTTGAAGTTGATCCAAAGGGTTTTCCTTCCAAGCATCTTCTTGATGGGAAACTCTTTTGAACATGTCAAAGCTTGTCCCCCAGGGTCAGATCTTCTATTTTCCTTTTTAGCTCCCTGTGACTTTCCAGGATAGTTTCTTCTTTTTCCCTCCCATCTAGGGGGAACTGGAGACCACAGCTGGTAGGCATAATGACCCTGGAGGAGCACCAAGAAGAATGGTGGAGCTCCACAGAATGGTCCAGAGGCTGCAGGTGGAGGTGGCACCAGGAAGCAGGTGTCCCTCAGCAAAGGAGCAGTGGAGGCTGAGCTTTGGCTGTGGGGTGTGCTCTGTGTTTCTGGGATTGGCCATACTCCACAGATGGCTGTGGGGTGTGCTCTGTGTTTCTGGGATTGGCCATACTCCACAGAATGCTCCTTCCAATGTCAAGCTTGCTTTCTGATAGTTCTGGCAAAGTTAGAGTGACAGTAAAGGGGAGGTAAGGCCCTGGTCCTATTATTTCCTTGCCCTCCATTCATGCAAATATATGAAGTTTCAGAGCATACCTTATCCTCTACTTGAGATGAACCCAGGTCTCTGGGTGACACCCTGGATGGCCTAGGAGATCTGGCCATTCTCTTGATGCTCAGCTGTCTGGAGTTGCTCATCAGTCATCAAACACCTTTTCAGTACTCACACTGTGGCAACTGGAATGTCCTTTCTCATCCTCATTAGCAATCTCTCAAACTCCTACCCTTACTTCAAAAATGGACCAAATGTTTCTTCCTCTAAAAACTTTTCCTCCTGCCAAGCCCCACCCTTCCCTGCTCAGTCTCTCCTGGAATCCACGGTGCCCTGCTCTTTACCTCATCACATCATAGCCTCATGGTACTTTAAAAGTCTATCTTTCTGTCTCCCTTACTTAAGGGTGAGGGCACTGGGCTCAGGGGTCCTGCCATGTTCACTTCTGTCTCTCAGATGCCCAGCTGTGAAGGTCATATATTTGGGAAGAAGTGAATTTTTGATTCAGACATTGACAGAAGGCTTCTTGGACCTCACCACTTATTACTACTTGCCTCAGATCCTGAGTCCCCAGAGTTTTGAGGGACTTTTGAGGCCACTTCCTCAAAGTTACTTTCCAGAGGGCTGCTCTTCTCCATCCTCAGTGTTTGGGAAATCCTGGGAAGGGACAGACAGATAGGGACCTGTGCTCCTCCGCCATATACACAGGTGATCCAGAGGTCCAGCACACTTCCCTTTCCCTTCTCTTGCCCTAGAAAAACAACCTGCTAGATAATATTAACTGATGCTGGGCAGCAGGGTGAGCTGGCCCTCAGGGATGCCCAATAAAATGAAGGCATTGCCAAGTTTCCTACCTTTCCACTTCTTGGAACTGGAGGAAAAGAAAAATGCACTCACCGATGTTCTGTATGTTGGATTCTGTCACAGCTGAGCTCACCTGCTCACCAGCTATGGTAGCCACCTCATCTTCTAACACTTCTGAAGGTCAAGCTGCCTTCCCAGGGCCCCTCTCAGCCCTGAACACTTGCTCCATACTGCTCCCATCCCATCTCTCTCTCCTCACACCTTCCAATACCTCATGGGGGCACAGAGGGAACTGGCTACCTCCTTGCAGCTGTAGCTCACAACATTGGCACCATTAGTTCTGAAGTTGCTGGTTACAATAGCAAAGGCAGTGCCACCAGCATCTCCAGCCATGGTGGCCAGAGTGTGGTCAGGGGTCAGGGTAGCTGGGGGCCAGAGCATCCAGTCTGCTAGCAGACATGTCCCTGTGGTCCAGAGCTCCAGAGCCAATAGCACCTCTGCTTCTTCTGCCAGGATCATTCAGACCACCACCAGCAGCAGCAGCCAGTTCTCCTATGCCAAATTCTGAGCTGACACCTCTGTCTCTCCCCAACAGATGGCCAGGTCCACCCCAGAGTCCACCTGCTTAGCTGTCTGCAACCCTGCTTCCTCATTTCCCAGGCTCCAGGCCACAGGCCCAGGGCAGAGTTGGGCTACTTGCTTCCGTGTGGGTGCTGGGCCTCTAGCACATGGTCCGCCATGGGATCTCAGCCCCTCTTCTCCCAGCTCTGCCCTCAGCTTGGTTTGAAACTTGCCCTCACTGTCTTCCTCTGCAAGGTCTCTATTTCTTTTAACAAATTGTTGCATTTTTCACTGTGGGTTTTTTTTTTTTGATGAATGTTATTAAATGCCACCTTGCAGTGTTTGTGGGGCAGAGGATGGAAGAGGAGAGAAAGAAGCTGTCCTCAGAGAGCAACCTGTTGAAGGCAGAGGATGCTTTAAGGCATAATCAGGTGGAGAAAATTTGCCTTTCTTGGATTGCCTGTCCACTGGGTCCACTCCTCCTCATCCCTCAATGCTCCATTTACGATTGCCTCCATATCCTTTCTTCCTTTCATGCCCATGGTTCTGATCCAGTTGTCTGTCAAGAGTTGTGTATATGCCAGTTGCTTCCTCTGACAGCACTGAGGTCTCCTCCAGAATGTACTGGTCCACCATTATGTCTGTTGGTGCCCGACAAATGGTTGCTGAGTGGATGAGCGACTGTTTGGAAGGAGGACTGAACAGATATCCATCAATGTCGTACCTCTGGGAAGGAATGAAGTCTTAGGGGGAAGTGAGAGCCAGACACCTCTGTCTGGATTTCCTGAACAGTGTGCTAGAGGAGCTCTCATGCCTGACCCTGACTCCCTGCTCTAATTTTCTAATTTGTCTCTTGGCAGAAAAGAGCCAATAATAGATGGGGACAGAATCAACCTTCTAACTGCATCAGTCTTCAAACCTAGTTCATGCTTAATTCATTTGTCATTTTCACTTGGGGTCACAGGTTGTATGAAATGATTTTGTCTATGAGTCACAAGAGGGTGTGTGTCTACGTGTGGCACGTTTGCCCATTTGCCTGTCAGGTTAAATAAAGTGAAAGGGCTTTAAAAATTAAAGGCACTCCACAGATGTCAGTTACTATTAAGTGTTGGCATATCAGTCATTGAGCTGTGACTTTTTTTTTTGCATAAGGCTGGCTGAATTCTAGGGGTGGAACCTATGTGCCAGGTATGGGTCCTGCCCTCCCAGGGCTTCCACATTGGTTAAAGGGAAATGAGATGTTTTCATCTGACTTATGGGCACAATAGGGGCAATGGATGACCCAGGAGCCAGAGGACAGGAGTGTTCAAGGGCCTGGCTAGTCATATAAGCCTCATGGTGGGATTGGGTCCTTTTATGGATCTTGAATGATGTGTTGATTTAGGGTGGAAGGGAAAGAGAGAAAGAGTTTTAAGTCACAAGACCCTCGTGATTCACAGGATGGCAGGCCAGCCAGCCAGAGGAGGCCAGCACAGTGCCCAGCACAGAGAATATGCCTCGGAAGTGGTGGCTGAGGAGTGGGTGAGGGATGAGGGGAGGGAGGACAAGCCTTCACTGGAGCCTCCTTAGAGCCAAGGATGCAGTGACATCACCAGTTGTGAACTGTTTAGTGTCACTGTGGTCCATGGCTGCACACTGTGGCCCTCTCCTGTCCCATCATCACCCTTCAGATCCTGGATCCTGATCAAGGCAGGAGTGGGGTGCTGCCGCAGTCTGGCTGGGCACAATCAGGAGCTACTTGTCAAAAGAAACTAACTTTATTTTTAGAACCACACACGCCAAACAAAACAGCCTCTCAAGAAAAACCCTCAGAGCCCCAACTGCCACCACCGGCTTTCCACAAGCCTCTCTCTCCAATACAAGCCTCTCTCTCCCACAAGCCTCTCTCCACCTCCCACAATCCTCCTGCTCTTGAGGCCGATTGGCTGGGTCATGTGGGCGGAGCCAAAAAAGTCCCCCAATGAGCAGCTCCGTGGTCTGAAAGGGCAGGGAAACAGCCCAATGAGCATCACCGCAGAGGAGCCAATCAGCTAGATGTTGCTGGGGCCGCTGTGAGCCAATCATCAGCCGGCAGCTGGAAGTTTTTGCTGGCAGCTGGAAGTTTGCTGGGGCCCCTTCAGCTGTGGCTCTCAACATCTCCCCCTCTCTGTTTAAACAAAAAGCATGTGGCTTAGGGACCGTGCCTGCCTTTGGTTGTCCAATAGTACATATGGTCCTTACCCATTAGGTTGGTACCATTGCAATTGGATCTTACCCGTCACTGACTACCGGTCCAGTATACAGCCACACCTGTGGAGAGGTCTTTGTACCAGCAGGGGGGTGAGGTTCTTTGCCTCACCTCTGTTGGCCCCCAAATTTTAGCTGGACAATCATGACAAGCAGAAGGGAGGAAGATACACCAAGCCAATTGACGGCTCCTTTTGGAAAAATTGTACCACCGATGACATCATCAGCAAAAATACCCCAACACTACCACAAGTCGCTGCACCAACAGATAGTTCACAATGCATACAGGTGAGTTCACAATGTGTCCAGGCAAGTTCTGCAAGCAGTTCAGTGATGGCTATTGCAGAAGCTGTAGATTGGTTTTATCTTTGACTTCACCAGCACTGGCTAAAGAAATGGCTAAAGAAAAAATTATGTAACATTCCAGAAGGCACTAAAAGAAAACAATTTTTTTTAACAATTTACATTGTCTTCACCGGCACTGG